TGTGTGTGTGGTCTCTGTGTGTGTTGTCTCGGTGTGTGTTGTCTCGGTGTGTGTTGTCTCAGTGTGTGTTGTCTCTGTGTGTGTTGTCTCTGTGTGATCTCTGTGTGTGTGGTCTCGGTGTGTGTGATCTCTGTGTGTGTGGTCTCTGTGTGTGTGTTGTCTCGGTGTGTGTTGTCTCGGTGTGTGTTGTCTCAGTGTGTGTTGTCTCTGTGTGTGTTGTCTCTGTGTGAGTTGTCTCGGAAAGGGAGGAGCGGGAGAAGCGGGAGAAGCGGGATGAGACGTAGAAAAGAAGAACCCCACACTAAGATGTGGGGAATTACCCTGGAACAACAGAACAGCTATAAAACAGTCAAACTACAAACAACCGAAGGTAAAATGGTGCAGGTATGAAAACCTAAGAAAGAGTCCAGGGGTAGAAACCCTCAATGTACCAGTGGAGAGGCGTCTAACGAAAAAAACAAAAGAATCGACAAATCCTCAAAGCGAGTCTCCAAAAGCAAAATAGAAACTCGTGACTGCAGAGTGCAAGAACCGATGCAATGGCTGGAACTTTGTTATACTTAAATCAGGGACCATTGGCAAGTGAATGGTGATCACAGCAGGTACAAGTCTGTGCGTCCACAGACTCCTCCACGACTGACGAAGAAGCTCCTATCACCATGATCACTAACACGCAGCAATTAACCACCCACGGTACAATCAAGCAAAACCCGAATTCGACATGGTCTGCGCACATTGAAACACTTGGTTGTAGTCGGTTAGAAGGCAAGACCAGATGATCGTGCCCCTTCAACTGGATCCATTTTACGACCCTGCTGACTGGGGGTCTTGGTAAGAGTAGGCCGGACCATGGCACATATCATGTATATATATATATGCAGTTTGACCATGGCACATATCATGTATATATATATATATTTCATATATACTACAAAACGATAGGGTGATGGAGGAGCAAACGACGGTCTTTCATTTGCTCATTTATTGAACCTGAGAATTCATGATTTGCTCAGTTTCAATCAGAGATGTAGTGAAACCCGCAATTTTGAGGCAGCTGTGGACCAAGCCTTCTTCGAGTTTCAGCCTTCAGCCGCAAATCCTGAAAAGCAAGTGGCTGAAGTACATCAGCATCTCCATGACTCGTAAGGGCCTCAATAGCGTCAAGACTTGCCCAAAGGCCTCAAAGTAGAGATGCTCACGAAGCAATTTGGCCACTTTGAGGTTTTCAAAATATGAGAATGAGCTCGTGACTGGACGGAATCAGTTGGCACTGTGTGTGAATGAGTATTTTGGCAGTAGTTGCTCCAGTTAAGGATGGGCCGTATAAAGGATCCTTGATGGACTTGTCCGGGTCCCAATTGCACGTTGTCATATCATGCTGCTATACTATGATGAGTTCCTTTTGCCAAGGCTGGCCCTTTCGTCTCCTGCTCGCTTTGATCATTTGGTCCACTATGGGGGCTCTTACTACTGCTACCTGTTCAACCGAGTTCGGGCCTTTTCAGCCACTTCTCCAAGTGAGTTGCTCGCAGTTCATGCAGAGTGGCAGACCGAGGCCCTTGCAGCTCACGTATGGCGCCAAAGCTTCCAAGCAGACCCCTTTAATCGAGAAACGGGGGTCCGTTTACGAGGCCGAACTGCGGGACTTTTACCCAATAAAGGAGATGAAAAAAGGTGGATGGTCTCTTTTTTCATATCCGTTTTCTACACTTAGGATTTCTGATTTTTGGTTCCCTTAAACTTTAAACAATGCCTTTCATCTTGTTTTTTTTTAGTGCAGTCCGTGAACTCTCCAGGCATGCTGCGTCAAGGCACTGCTGCAAACCGCGACACGGGACACAGCGTGGGCAATTCCCACAGTCTCCCCATTGTGCATCGTACTGCGTTGGTTGTCTATGAAATTTCAATATTTGAGAGATTCATTGGGTCAAGCTTTGTTCTGTTGGATTTACTGTGCGAGTTTGGAGGTTCAGTGGTGCAGACGCTGGACGTGATAAGGGAGTTGTGCCCTGGAGATGTCTTTGCAGCACATGAAGTGCCGCTGGATGCAATGATGCAGCCACTTGTTTCGAAAATGGTTGAACTGTTTACACAGTAACTATATAAACATTTGTCAGTCTGTTGCTTAGTCTTTTTCAACTGCAGAGTAGAATCAGGCTTTGATCCCGTGACTGCTGCACAGGTTGGCTCATGCAAGAAGTGTCTGAGCAGCGTAAAAATCAGAGCGGCTGCGTTGCAAAGCCAGCGGGTTGTTCTCTCTCTCTCTCTCTCGCGCCAGCTTCACACCAGCAAAGCATTCTTCCAAGGCTGCTGGTTCTACCTCTGGGATTTGGGACTCTTTTGCTCAGGTGCAAGTTGTTTGAGTTGGCAGACTCTTTTGTCTCGCATACTTTTTGATTTGCCAGCCGTGCTCCTTGCTTTAGGCTGCTTCTGCCTCTCAAGGTCCAGTCTGTTCTCCAGGCCCAAGACGTAAGCGCAAACCACAAAGAGAAAGAGGTTTTTTGATGTTCTTTTGTGCGTCGCTTGAGAACGACTTGTCTTGGCACTGGCTCAAGGAACAACATTACATGGCTTGAATAAATGCAAGCGAATACAAGAGGACCTGCTTTCTGCACTGCTGATGCAGTTTACAGTAATAGATGAGACACATGCCATTCTTCGGCCGGATGAGAGAACTGCAAGAACGCCTATGTGACCATGTGGCATGAAGCAGTAGCAGACAGGAAACCTCCGTACACTGCAATGATGAGGACGGTTTGCACACTGGTGTTCGGACATGGCACGGATCGAGACTGCACCATGTTTGCAAGTGTTTAGCTGGATTAATGGAGACATCGTGCAGCTGTTTTGGTGCAAGCAAGATCTGGGAGGCCGGCTTTTGTGGCTTTTGTGCCTCATGGGTACTGACACTTCCAGCTGAGCTTTGGATGTAGGAAGACTCCGGATTCGGGGGGCGGTTTCCGGAGGGTCTCTTGACATCCTTCTCGGGATGCTTTGTTGACCACTTGCAAGTATTGTTTAAGGGTTATAGTTCTTGAGTACTTATAGTTTGTATAGTACTAATATCCCTTGTGCCATGTTTCTATATACCTTGGCTGTCAGGTATTAACATACCGTCAGTCTTTCCTTTTTGGAGCCGCTGGCCTCGCATTTATCTTGAACTCGTGGCTGTGGTGCGCTTAGATTTTACTTGAGAGATGTCAGCGGTGACTGACAGTTGCCGATCCACATCAAAGCTAGTCTGCTGCAGGCTATTGCTGGGCGTTTTGTCACTCCTTGCGATCCTACAACATCAAGAGCTGAGCTTATCGATGAGACACTATTTATGCAAGCTTATGTCAACATTGAAGGTCAAACATTTAAAGACTTTCAGGTATTTCCTATTATCACGAAAGCCAGCCGAAAGGCTAGGCGAAGTTAGTGCTGTGAACGGAGTTCGTTATTGGGGGGTGTGGGGGAAGACGGGGAGAAAGTGTTGTATACCACGTTAGCGTGCTGGTGCTGGTGCTTTTACTTTTCCACCAATGTGATTTTTGGTGGCTTGGTAATGCAAAAGATGCAAGGTAACCAAGCATTGCATCACTAGCATCATTTCTAACCGAGAGTAGTACATATGGCTAGTCCAAGGGCAGTCTATTGACATGTGAATGTGCATAGATATCCATTTGTAGAATATGCCTCATACCAGTCTGAGACGAATGCGACGATTTCCCCAGACCATTGCTAGCACCATGTGTTGAGGTTTCAACATGGCAGAAAATGGAGTTGCCGGGGAGAAAGAACCAATCACAAAAGCCAAGTGCCGCGGATAAGGAGCCAATAATGGCAAAAGCTAAATGCCGACTGATACACACACACACAAGATATTGCGTGCTGAAATCAAATCCTGCGTGCCACACGCCCACCGAGGTGTGAACGCCTAAGAGTACCAAGAGTAAAGGAAGTAGGTCTGAACATGAAAACCTCCAAAGCCCCAACGGTCTTGAAATTCTCGCATCGATGCAAAGGCGGCAAAGGCGGGACACAGTGTTCAATTTGCAATCAGGGACCAACAGGAAGTGAACTCTAGCACTCGAGCAGGTACGTGCAGCTCACTTACGCAAAGGCTGTCAGTTTCAATGATTCAGCAAGTCTCAATTGACGTTTGCGCGAAGGCTCCTTCTGTCCGCTCTGGACACTCCGTTTCCGGGCAATGGAAACATGGACAAACCTTTGCGCAACACCCATAGAGCTGTGCCCAACAAAGCTCTCTATGGTGACCTCAGGATATGCAGCCTGTACCTGCTCGAGTTGGAAAGTTCACCCTGTTGGTCCCTGATTGTAATTAGAACAATGTGTTAGCCTTTGCATCGGTTCTTCAACGGCAGATGCGAGCGATCGCGGTCACTCAGTCGCCGTGAGCCGCGTTTGGAGAATTTCAAGACCGTTGGGGCTTTGGAGGTTTCACGTTCAGACCTATTTCCTTTACTCTTGGTACTCTTCGGCGTTCACACCCAGGTGGGCGTGTGGCATGCGGCATTCGATTCATTGCCCAATATCTTGAGTGTGTCTGGCCTCTGTGCCAGCCCGGGTGAGCCCGAGGAGTGCCCCCCGTGGCTTTGCTAAGCCAGACGAATCGCAGGGGGCCCGGCCGACGGCCCAGGCTTGAACTCTAGGTGCTGGCCATTTCAGGACCCAAGAAATCGAGTAATAGTTCTATTCATGTCTCGCCCACTTCCCACCTCAGTTTCCACTGCGCCGGGTTCTTTCATACATTTAATTACCTCAGAATACATACATAGCGCCTGACAGAACCTCAACCACGCTGGAGACCCTCCTCCATCCGGGGGCCATTTCAAGATGTCCAATAAATTTTCCAACGAATCGATTTAATCATTTTTATACAAATATCGCACCTATTTTCCACATCAGTTTCCAGCACACCCTGTTGTTCCAACTACATATAGGTGCTGATGCAATGGGGCCGCTTGAAGCTTGCAGCAGTCCAAGTAGGAAAACCACGGTGAGCCCATCCCTGTTCTGCAGACACCCCCTGGTGGAGGCAGCAGCGAGTCAGCGGTCTAAACCCAGACGGTCTAGATAAACATTCTTGCCCGGCCCGATCTCCGCTTGCGGCAGACCCTCAACAATCTTGCCATTGCTTGGGGGGTCTTGCTCTACGGCTCTCCAGCGACTTTCACCAGCTTCCCCCTGCGTAGGGCGACGCCTCTCATCAATCCCCTAAGGCCCTGGCTGCAGCGCGTCCAAGGGATTGCCTTACCTTTCAACAAACGCGTGCCGCCGCTGGTGCCGATCTTTGGGCCAACATCCACCCTGTCCTGCTCGTCGACTTCAGCCATCGTTGCACCGCGCTTCTGCATACATTGCTCCAGTGCCTCGCTGCAGACAAGGTCCAGGCTTCTTCTTGTCCCCTTGGTCTTCTCTGCCGTTCCGTACGGAGCTTCGAAACGCTTACAGAGCCGAAGAGTTTGCTTTGGGCGCCGACCGCTGCTCTTGTGCCAACAAACCTGCTCCTCTCACGCCGAGCTCGCCGCAGAAGCTACAGCTCTTCATACTCTCAGCGCTCCCAACCTTGCCGCAGTTCTATGCCTTTGTCGCGGTGTGCAGACCTGCTCGGAAACCAAGCTCTGCGCATCTCTGGGCCTCGTTTGCGGTTGCGTCGCCATCGTCGACGACATCCTCTTCGACAGAAACGAACCGTACCTTTGGCCTCTTCCGCGCTTATTGATTTTTCTTCTCTCCTGCTCCGTTTCACCATGTCACTCCCCGCCAAGGTCCTTCCCTGACTCCCAAGCCTCCCGCCGCGTCCTCTACTTTATGTACCTCTTGGTTTGATCTTGTGCATACCGGATGTATCCTGGATCAAACATGCTGGCTTGGGAGCACGGCGTTTCTTCCTCGCTCGTGGCACTTCTATCCCCGGGTCCCTCCTTCCGATACTGTCACCCTCGACAAGGACAACCAAGCATTCCTTCAGCTCCACCGGTGCCAGCTGCCGATTTCGAACTTTGCATTCACCGCGTACAACCTCCAAGGTCAGACTTTGCCGTCCATTATTCTTGATCTGCGAGGCCGCCTCACATGAAGACCCTGACCTGGTTTGCCATTTTTCACATTCACCCCCTATCCATCACTCTTGCCGCCATCGCTGGCCACCGCTATATCTCCTTCCTCGTATCACCCCGTCAGGACGAGTATAGGGGTTCGCGAAATGATGGCACAAGTAAAATGGTTGAAATATGCCATCAAAGATTAAAGATTTCAGCGCAAAATTGAGCTTTGACAATAGGAACACTCAAATGACATACCAATACACTGAAGCAATGGCAGGGCCGCTGTGAGAGCGGGGTTCTTTGAGAGTGCTGGGGTTGCATTCACAAAAGAAAAGTAAAAGAGAGGGAGGAAGGCAAGCAGGGAGAGAGGGAGGGAGGAGGAGGAAGGGAATGAGGAAATGACATGCACTAACACAGAAACAGCATACTGAGAGGAGAGGACGATTATATATAACAATGGTAGGTCCGCTGCGAGAGCAGGGCACAAAGCAAAAGGGAAAGAAGAGGCAGGGAGTGAGGAAGGGAGGAGAATGAAATGAATTGAACATAGGAACGCTAAGATGGCACACCACACACAAATTGAGAGAGAGAGAGAGGGAGTTACAGAGAGTGAGAGAGTGAGAGTGAGAGTGAGCTAGTCTCATACTAGAATCCAGCAAATGGAATGAAGTCCAAGAGAAGGAACAAAGGAAAGAAACTATACAGACAGGAAAGGACACCCCCCAAACAAAAACACATATAATATATGTATACGTATATAAGATGAGATTATTTTTCACAGCTGTTGTACATATACATCGTACCTACCACGCGTGTTATGGCTCAAGAAAAAGGTGTAGTATTTTGGCTGTTTCCTATCTGAAATAGATTATCAGCCGTAGGTCTCACCAAGTCTTCTCGCTCGTACCACGTGCTCCTAGCCATGGCAGGACAAGGTTATCCGTCGATCATTGATTTGTCGTCGGATCTGGACAATATGTCCGCGCGTGATGCAACGCCTGAGGTTGCGAGTTCCACGGCGCTTATGCCGGAAGGGTTTGGGTTCATGGACACGCCGTTAGGGCCTGACATTGCCCGATATGACCCTCCCTCCATGAGTGCCAGCGGGAACGCTGTGCCGATTCACATGAGTAAGACAAATGTGTTGAATCAGCACTTGCATGTTCACCAAGCCCCGACGACTGATGCAAGGTTAATCGAGGCTGTCGCCGAAGAAAGACACCGGCATGCCATGGACATCCAAGGTGAACAGCTCAACATTGTGAGCGCCCAGCGTGACGAGATGCGTATGCAGGGGTTAAGGTTTATGAATGAAGCTGAGCAAATGTTCCATGAAAACGCGGTCGTCAAACAGGAAGCAACTGCATTTGTTGAAGCTGCCCAGAGAGGTTACGAGGCTTTTGCTGA